GCCCGCAGCGCCGAGGGGCGGCCGGGCAGCGCTGCCGCCATGTCGCTGGGCACCGCGGAGCCGGCCTCGGAGACGGTAAGCGCGGGGGGCCTCCTCGTTCCCTTCAACTCTGCGACTCTCGGGGCCGGGCGCGGGCCGGAGGAAGGGGAGCAGGGCCGGCAGCCGCCGGGTGACAGCTACCATTATTGTTACCGCATAAGAGCGGCCATCGGGCCCCCGCCCTCGTGCAGCCGGCCGGGCCTCGCCGCCCCCCACCCAGCCTCCAGCCGCCCCTGGACCCCGCCCGGCCTTGCACAGGCCGCCGCTTCCAGGAAGCCCTCCCGGACGCTGCGCCCTCGCCGCGCGGCGCCTGTGAGGCCCCGGCCTGTGCCGAGCCTGCGACCGCGGTCCGCGGGGCAACGGAGCCTACTGTGTAAGTGCCCGCCCACCCGTGCCTCTGGGGCGGGGGGCAGCGGCCGGGGCGGCCGGCCCGAGCCATCCGGATGTGCGGGGGGTGGGGGTGGGGGAAGCCCCCGGCCCCCGGCCCCTGGGAACAGCGCCCTGCCCAGCGTCGGTTGGAGAAGGCTTCCCGGAGGAGGTGCCTCCAAGCTTCCTCCCTTGGGTGAGGGCAAGCGTGCTGTCAGCTGTGCCTTTTCCGAGTGTTTTTGGCGCCCCTGCTCTTCGCTGGAGGTGTCAACGTGGATTAATGAGCGTCATTCCGGTGGGGGGGAGAACGAGGCAGTAAACCGCACTAACATGGCCTGTGCAGAACGTGAAACAGGCCCATGTGGCCGCGATGGGTTGCAGAGGGCTGCTTTAGGCTGCGTGCCCTAGGCAGGTGCCCAGGCCGCCCTGGATGTCCCTGACCAGAAGGAGGTCTGAGTGCAGAGGGGCCAGCAAGCACTAAGGTCCTGGGATGGGAAGGTGGGATGTGTTCCAGGGCCTAAAAGAAAGCTTGCTGGGACCTCGTGGGGGGAAGGTGGGAGCGGGCCTGACAGTGGACAGCCTCTCAGGCTGTACAGGGAGTTTGGACTTTATTTCCCGGACTGTGAGAAGCTTTTGGAGAGTTCCAGACAGAGGGCATTTTGCTCACTTTGCTTCCTTCTCACGGAGAAGGCTGTGCTAGGCAGGGCTACACAGAGCTCAACCAGGGCAGAGCGTCCCTCAAGGCACCAAGTCCTGCCTCACCTGGAAGGCCGGCCCACCTACCCGGGACTCACTCACTGCTCCTTCACCTTTAGAAAGTGACTTTTTAGGTCGTGGTTGTGAAAATCGTGAGCACTAGAGAAAATGTAGAAAGTCCATTTACCCGTGATCTAACCACCCGTGATCTAACAAGATCACCTTAATGTTCAGTGTATTTCCTTTCGATCTTTTCTCAATGCATCTCTTCCCACGCAGTGTTTAAAAAAAATTAAGATCATATTTAAATTGTTTTGTGACCTTTACCATTTAATTTGTTATTAACATTTTTCCTACAGCCACACGTTTTCAAGAGCATGATTTAAAAAGTCTGAGCTGTGGCTACCCCTACTTTATCCACTTCCCTGCTTTCCCTCTCTCGTTGGCACTTTTTCTCTACTAGGAACAGTGTGGCTGTAAACCTTCTTACACGCTTAGCATTTGTTAAGCCCTTTCCACGTGAGGCTCTCAGGACACGAAACCAGGTAAGCCCCAGTGCCTTGGTCTCAAGGAACCCCATCGTGGAGGAACTGGTGCAAAGCTCTCTCAGCACTTAGGAGACTGTCCGCCCTTGGTCCAGGCTAACCTGTGGCTTTCTGTTGAGCTTGGATCTGTTTGAAATTAGATAAGAACCTCTTGAGAGCAGGCACTGTGCAGTCTGTCCGTTCCCCCAAGTGGACTGCAGCTGCCTCTGGGCTGGCTGATGAACTTCCCAGAGCTCTTACTCTGTGCCAGGGGGCTCACCGCATGGTGGCTGTATACATGGAGCCTGAGTGGGACCACGTGGCTGTATACAGAGCCACAGGGGTGACCTGGAGCCTGAGTGGAACCACCAGTGATTTAAGAGTCAACACTTGTGAAAGGGCTCAGAGATTCTAGAATAAGACAGTAAGAGCATGTATTAGGCATTCACTACGTGTAAGGTTCTGCGTCACGTGCTTTACTACTGACCCCCCTCTGACCTCTTGTCCAGCCCCTGTGCCCTGCTGCCTCCCGATCCTCCTGCAGCCTCACCGCAGCACGGCTTGAACAGATTTATGACGGCTGCTCTGAAGACCTTGTCTGCTAAGTCCATCACCCGGGCCCTTCAAAAGCTTCTGTTTCCGCTTTTTCCCCTTCTGTCACTCACACTTTCCTGTTTCTCTCTGTGTCTCTTAGTTTCCTGTGGGAAGCTAGACATTTAGGTAGAATGTTACAGCAACTCTGGGTATTGATCCCTCCTCCCCATGGGACTGATGCGGTTTGCTTGGTGGTTCATCTCTTTGCTGAGTGACTTGACTGGACTGACCCTGCAGTTGATCTCCCCACACTGTGCAGCCTCTGATTCCCTGCTCAGATTCTTTCTTGTTTGCATCTTCCAGCCTAACTACCTAGGGATCACCCTTGAGTCAGCAGAAGCCACTTTCTGCTCAAACATTATAGGTAAGCCCTTTGGCCTGTCAGATCTTTGCCCTTTACCACTGCATGTACGTGTATGTGCGTGCACGTGCGAGTTTGGTGTGTGTGCATGCATGAATGCACATGTGCGTGTGTGGTGTGCGTGTGTGCACACGCGTGTGCATCTGTGGTGTGTGTGCCTGTGTGCGAGCACATGTGCATCTGTGGTGTGCGTGCATGTGCGTGTGTGGTGGGTGTGCCTGCGTGTGCATGCACACACATGTGCATCTGTGGTGTGTGTGCGTGTGTGTGTGGTGTGTGTGCGTGCGTGTGCATGCACACACATGTACATCTGTGGTGTGCGTGCGTGTGCAGTGTGTGTGCGAGCACGTGTGCAGCCGTGGTGTGCGTGCATGTGCAGTGTGTGTGTGAGTACGTGTGCATCTGTGGTGTGCATGCATGTGCGTGTGTGGTGGGTGTGCCTGCGTGTGCGTGCACACACATTTGCATCCGTGGTGTGCGTGCGTGTGTGGTGGGTGTGCCTGCGTGTGTGTGCACACACATGTGCATCCGTGGTGTGCGTGCGTGTGCAGTATGTGCGTCTGTGGTGTGTGGCCTGGAGGCTGCAGTCACATGGCGGGAGTTTACGGTTTTGCCCACCTGCAGCCAAGGACTAGCAGCTTGGGTCTCTCCTCTCCATTTCCCGAGAGGGCAGCTGAGCCGTGCACATGGCCCCCCAGACTTCAGGGATGTGTGATTTTACCTTTAAGCCTGGCTTCCTGGGAGCTGCTCTTGCATCGGAGTTTCTTGTTGAACCAGTGTTTGGTTCAAGGTTGTGCTAAGGCCCCTAGCGCCCGTGAGCTTGTGCCCTTTGGTTGATCTAGGCGCGGTGTGGAGAATGTTTCCAAGTCCACCCTGAGCCTGCTCCTGGTGGGTGCAGTCTGATGCTTGCAGGCAGCCTCCCTGAGCCTCGGACTTGACCGTGACCCCAGGAAGGCTCTCCCGGGCCTGTTAGAGCTCCTCTTGCTCTGCTGGTTAGCCTTCTGCTGCAACGATCACAGAGCTGGGAGGGCTTTATAATTGCTCCCCACCACGTCACCGTGGTCTTCGACTTGGCACTGGAATCAGGGAGGCATGGGGATGCCCCATACCCGCTACAAATAAAGCCAGTCCCCTTGGGCTCAACTGTTGGCCTGCCTCTTCCTCCAGGAAGGACCTCTGTGCAGCAGGGATGGCCGTTTGTCCCTCCTGGAGTGACACCCCTACTCCAGGAGGGGGCGCTGGCCTTCTGGGCTGGACCTTCCCTGCGTGGAACCTCTGCCCTACAAGCAAGCCAGCGTCGGGGCGTCCAGGACCCAGATTTCCTAGCCTGCCTACTTACACCCTACTTCTCAGAACCGCCCCCCCACCATTCCCCACCATCCTGCCTGCACTCTCCTAGAGCGGGTCTCTCTGAAGTAGTTTCTGTGGGATGGAGTTTGGGGGGCGAGCGGTGCCCCGGACTCCCACTGTTCTTCCCCACATTTAGTAGATTTTCTTGAATGAATTGTTGCATGCCTCTATTGTTGTATGCCTTTAGGTCAATTTCCAGAAACCTCAAACAATTGTTTTGTAACTTTCTGTGTTCAATGGTAGTTGAAGAGACAGTTGCCCGAGCTCCTCACCCCATCATTCGGGAAGACGGCTCTCAGATAGTGCAACCCTTCCCCACTGTCACCATGTACTGAGTCCCCATAGGCCCCTGCATCTCATATAGACACGCCATGTCTTCTCCCCCAGTGTATGTAGACTTCCGGTGCTTTTAAAAATCTGGTAGAGGAACGGGTCCTCTGTGGTCCAGGAAGCTGAGATGGAGAGGGTCCGTGGCGTGACCCACTTCACACAGCTGGCACGCAGGCCTGGGGCTGCTCCAGGCCTCGCGGGACTCTGCCCGCAGACCGCCCTCCCGCCCGCCTGCAGCCCCTGGGGTCCCGTCTCGCAACAGTCCGGGGCAGTGTAGCCTGCCAGCCTGCGGCGGCGCGGATCATGCTCAGGGAACCGGCCATCAGTGTGTTCGCTGTTTTTAACAGTCTGTGGTCTCTCTCCTGCCGACTGAAGGGGCGGGCCTGCGGCGGCTCCGCGGTTCCAGATGTGGCTAGCAGGGCGCAGGTGGTGACCCGTGGGGGGGACTGGCTGGGGAGAGGGCGTGGTGGGCGAGCACACCTGTTGGAGAGGGAGGTCACTTGGTTTTATCCACCACACACATAACCTCATTCCCTCGTTGAGCCTTCAGGTCATCACACAGTTTTCAGGGTTTTATTCGGAACAAGTAGTAATGACGAGTGTCCACCAGAGAAACCTTCTGCTGCTCCTCTGTAGTTTCAGCAGGTTCACACCCGCCATTGGCAGGCGCGTCCTTTGTGATGCCGGGGCACCCAGACGCGGTCGCCACAGTCGCTCCTCTGGTCTTGCCTTCCCCTGCCTTCTGTTCCTAAATGTTGCACGTTGTATTCATACACTTTGCTCAGGGAAAACTCTCTAATTGGCATGTGCTATTTAGCCCTGAAAATGTCACCTGTTCAGTGACATCGAAAACCTAAGTCCGTGGCTAGTAAAAGATCCTGCTAATTGGAGCACACTTCCTTCCCTGGCCCCACGTCACGCCGCACCCTTAGTCCGGACTCTGTTTCGGACAGCTGGCACGGGATGCTGCCCCTGTTTCCAGTGGACCTTCAAGCTGCTAGCAGCGTTATTGTTTAAATGCTGATCCTCAGCCCTGCAGAGGATCTGTGTGCTTTTCAGAAGGCAGCAAAGTCCCGCTGGGATAGGAAGTGGGTTCCACCACAGCACGGACGGCTCGCTGAAGTACGCTGAGCCCAGCAGCCTGACACAGATCATCGGTTCACAGGAGGGGCGTGCGGTCCTAATTCCCAGCAGCAGCTTCGTAAATTCAGCAACACAACAGTCTGAAAGGATTTAGATTTTGTTCCTCCTTTCTGTCTCTTTTTTTAGGATTTAAATTTGAGTCGGTGAGTTACATGGAAACACTCTTCTCTTGAGAAACGACATCCTAGTTCTGGAATTAGGTGTACAGATTTTATCCCCTCCCCACAGGGCCAGGGCAGGAAGCTTTATGAGTCCAAATAATGCATGTATTAATGAGTGTGTTTATTTATTTATTTTTTTAAAGATTTTATTTATTTATTTGAGAGAGAGAATGAGACAGAGAGCATGAGAGAGGGGAGGGTCAGAGGGAGAAGCAGACTCCCCACTGAGCAGGGAGCCCGATGCGGGACTCGATCCCGGGACTCCAGGATCATGACCCGAGCCGAAGGCAGCCGCTTAACCGGCTGAGCCACCCAGGCGCCCCTGAGTGTGTTTTTTTTTAAAATAACTTCAGCTTGTTCTGATCAGGATCCACAGACTCCTCGTGCTTTGATGTGAAGGTGAATGAGAACACATTTAAACAATGTGGAAAATGAAGTCCTTTTATCCTGAACTGTTTCTTTAGCAATGGTACCCAGCGATTCCGTGCAAATGGTGTCGCTAGGTGGACAGACACAGAGCAGCCCTGCAGGCAGAGTCTGCTCTGTGTCCCCCACCCCTTCGTTCCGCTGGGCTGAGCCGTCTGGCTGCCGCCTGCTTACTTTGACTGGGTTTCTTGAGTCTCAGCCTCCGTAGCTGTGGCTCTTTCCACCTTGTGTGTAACCAGGGGGAGCCAGGCAGGTGCCCTAAAATCTCAATGTTTGCATCTCTTCTTCCAGGGAGATGACAGTCTATCTGCGATTACCTTTGACTCTGACTTTGAGACGGTGAGTGTGGTCGGGGGGCAGCCGCTCATCCCCGCACTCGTGCTTTTGCCTTTGCTCATGTTACTGAAACACATGCACCAGGTCATTCCCCACAAATGTCGAGTTTAGAGCTGGAATATAAACTCTACATGCTTCTCAGCACCTGAAGAGTTTTGAGCCCCTCATTGGATGTAAACAACTGTGGTTATAATTTTAAGACTTGTATCCAGGTGTTAGTCCTGAGTGGAGTATATTTGAGGCAGATGGTAAGCTCCTATCCTGGGTCTGGTTTTGGCTACAACCCTCTGGTCCCCCCGGCCCCCAGTCCTGACACGTGAGGGAAAGGAGAGGGCTCCGGGAGGAGATAGGGGACCCTTTGGCAGCCACAGCCCTGGCACTGCATGTCCTGGCCAGATGGCCCCTAGGGTCCCTGGGAGGCAGGAGCTAGCCTGAAGGGAGAGTGGACAGCACAGGTCCCCAGGCAAACTAGCCCCCAGCTTGGCCTCTCTGCATTCACGTGGGAAGCTGTGCTGGGTAGAGAATGACGCCTTCCAGCCACATGGTGAAAGACGAGCCCAGGCAGCATGTCTCCAGCAGGCAGAGTTACCGACGGACCTCGACACAGAGCCCTGAAGGCACGTGCACCAGCAGATCCCCATTCGCCACAGCTCTGTGCACTCAGGGGAGCCTCTCGGGCCCCTTGTCTGCCATGAGGGAACCCCTGCAGCGTGAGGGATGCCCCCCTCAACACCACCGAGGATAGGGGCCCAAGATGCTCCCTGAAGTAGGGATCCAGCCCGTCTGCTGGGTAAAATGCACAACACAGAACTCCTTGCTTCCGCTGAAAGGGAGGTGAGGGGCATTCTCTGTCTAGTGGGAAGCAGTTGAGGAACACAGGCGTGGAAGACGTGTCATTTCCCCGGGCACATAAGTAGTGGGTAGGAGAACTCACTGGCATCTGGGTTGTCCCCGGAGACGGGATTACGACAGGGTCATTCCTCTGCTGCACCTTCCCTCCCCAGGGGGATTTGCAGGCGCCTTATTCACAAGGGTTTCTTCTTGCCAAATCCGCCGTCGTGGACGGGCACAGCGTGGTGCTTCAGATGCTGGCATGAGTCCAGTGGGGTGGTCGCAGACACACCATTTGTGGGGTATCTTCAGTCTGCACTTATGGAGTGTTGCCAGGGCTCCCAGGGACCCGGCTCAGCCAGGGCGTGGCACCGGTCACCTTTCCTGGGGTCGCCCCACTGTGCCATGGGCTTTTTCCTTGGCTCAGACTGCGCACAGGTCTCTGCTGAGTTAATCTCCTTCTCACTGCCCTTGCACCTGCTCTGAGCCATCCTGAATACACCCAAGCTTCACCACTGGGGCTGCTGGGCTGCTCCAGAAGGCTCAGCATGCTTTACCTCGTTTTTCTTTCTTTCAGAAAGCAAAAAGGAAAAGTTTCCACAAACCTCCACCCACATCACCGAGTAAGTATGACCAGGCCCCTCATCTCTCAAATTTCTGCAGTTTAACACAGAAAATGGTTCTCAGAAGCTGTCCTTCCCTGGTGTCTTGGGAGAAAGATCACGAATGTCTTCTTCAAACACTTGGGGTCATTGAAATGCAACACTTCCACCGCTAGGCTCCGTTTTGTGTTAGGGTCTTGCGAGCTGGCGCTCTTGGGGTCCCCACCTTACCCCGTGGCCCCAGTAGTCCCCGATTGAGGAGGCCCTCGAGGCGCTGAGGCTCCTGAGTCACTGTCCCTTGAGCCCCCCGCAGATGCTGTGTTTCTGGCCTCTTGTGCTCGTTGCCCGCCCTTTGAACCCGCTTGTGTCTTTGGAACGCTGCTGCGGCCAGAGGGCCTCATCCCCTCCTGAGTCAGAGCTGCTGTTGGCACACTGGGCAGGTGTCGTGGTTTCCTGTGGACTTACCCTGGCTGCGTCCGCCGGGTGGTTCTGTGCTCCCCGTCCTCAGCAGGGGTGGCAGCTCTGTCCGGGAGACACCATTCTTGACCGTAGACAAGTAGGCGGCTGCCCGTCGGGCACGAGGCTACAGGGGTGGGTCCTCTTCTGCCCGGGCGGCTGAGCTGAGCTGAGCTGGGCGCCTTCTGAACAACAGACAGTTACTTCTCACAGTCCTCGAGGCCGGAAGTCCAAGACTAGGGTGCCAACTTGGTCGGGTTCTCGTGATTGTGCTGTGGACAGCCATCACTGGATGGTATCTCCCACGGGGGAGGGGATGAGGGAGCTCTGTGGGATCCCTTTTATGGGGGCACTAATCCCATCATGAAGGCCCTCGCCCATCATGAGCTAACCATCTCCTGCAGTCCTCACCCCCTCATGCGGTCACAGTAGGGGTTAGGTTTCAGCATAGGACTTGTGGGGGGCACAAACGTTCAGTCCGTGGTGCATGGGGTCCGTTTAGACAGCCAGCCAGCCTCTCTTACTCTTCACCATTCTGACATTGCTCTAGGGTTTGGTGAGCCGCATGTGAATTTTATGCTTAGGAATGTCTTTATGACAAAGTTTAAATCCTGGATTGGCTTCCTTTTGCGCTCCAAAAGCCTGAGGCCATCCCTGACTTTATTACGCATGTATCAATGTTCCTTACATGCGTGTACATTTCAAACACAACGTGTCATGTGTATGACGCACTCAGCGAATGCTAACGGACTTTCATATTAGCCCAAGAAAAACATAATTAGAAAGATAATTCCTGCCAAGGAAGGAAAGTATGTTTTCTATTACAAAGAAATATAAACATTAGAGAGAAAGCATCTGTCAGTTTGGATTTTTGATGTCCTTGCTCTTCTTCCCTGGAGGAAACTGAGAATTGATATAAAGTAAAAGTGTGCTGTTTGTGTTTTAAACCTTCTAGTTTTAGAACCATTTTGTTTTAAGTCCTTCGTGGCTACAAGGTGCCAAAAGTAAATATCACAACATCTTTCATTATTCTTACCGAAAGTCAGCATTTCGAGTGTTTAAAATCGTAACAATCAAATAGTTTTTATCTTGATTTCTGTAAACATCTGAATTGTGTTTCATGTAAGTTACAACGGTGAGAACCCCCAAATCACAACTTGAGGGGGCTGCTGAACCTCAGCGCCTCGGTGTCTCCCTGCACTTTCTCCTGGCAGCCTGGTGGGGAGTCTCATCCTGCACCAGCACTGATCATGGGTGCCCTGCTCCCCACTGACCTGTGTGTCCTGTCCCCCGCGCACTCGTGCTTCTCTGCCTGGGCTGGTGTTGCCTCTCACTCTGGCTGGCCAGGTCTCAGCTCTGGGGCCCGCTTCCCTCACGCCTTTCGGAGCATGTGTTGAGCAGGTGTGCTTCTGTCTGGAATCCTGGGCTGTGACAGCAGTGACTGCGTGTCCTATTCATGTCACAAGCGTGGCTCTAGAATGCCTAAGCCAGCTCCACGTGGGTTTGTAGCTTGCAGAGCGCGGGGGCTGGGTGCTTGCCTCCCTGCTCGCCACCGTGCTTCCCGGCCCATTTCCTTCTGCCTTTCCTGCTTTGGTCTGTGTGCGTGCACATTTCCTGAGGAATTCTTACTATTCATTGATGAATCACATACATTTAGGAGGGAAATGTTACTTGGGGAGCTGTTTCCCTGATTGCTAATTTACTGTATAAGGGAGCACTTAAATGGACAAAGTTTGGAAGGCCTTCAGCTGTCCCGGTGAGCAAAAATGCGTCTGGGTCTAGTGAGTCTTTATTCTCCTGTTCTAAATAATAATGGGACATTTCTCATAAATTTTGAAGCCATGGAAAAAACATAGAAATTTTTTAAAAATTATATATATTAGACTTAGGTTTTTAGGACCTGCTCTAGACAGACATTTCTTTGCTAATTATCAGCATGTCTTATGAGTAAGTTTTCACGTAAATTTGCTATATCTTCCATAATTAAAGAGATGAAATTCCAGATTAAAAAAGGACTTTAAAACATTTCCCTTGGGCGCCTGGGTGGCTCAGTTGGTTAAGCCACTGCCTTCGGCTCAGGTCATGATCCTAGAGTCCCTGGATTGAGTCCCGCATCGGGCTCCCTGCTCGGCGGGGAGTCTGCTTCTCCCTCTGACCCTCCCCCCTCTCATGTGCTCGCTCTCTCTCATTCTCTCTCTCTCAAATAAATAAATAAAAAATCTTAAAAAAATAAAATAAAATAAAACATTTCCCTTGTTTTGATAACAAAATAAAAAATGCCCTGGAAAGGTAATTTTTTTCTAGATTTTTTTTTTTTAAAGATTTTATTTATTTGACAGAGAGAGACACAGCGAGAGAGGGAACACAGCAGGGGGAGTGAGAGAGGGAGAAGCAGGCTTCCCGCTGAGCAGGGAGCCCGATGCGGGGCTCGATCCCAGGACCCTGGGATCATGACCCGAGCCAAAGGCAGACGCTTAACGACTGAGCCACCCAGGCGCCCCTCTTCTAGATTTTTTAATATATTAAGTTCTTAATATTATTGCTTACGCCACTGTGTAGCAAAATGAAGTTTTTTACAGTGTCGAGTATAAAGGACACAAAATTGTGTGTTGACTATAACTGTGACAATGTCGAACTACACACGCATTGTAAAACGTCAAATATTGGCGGAATTATGGATTTGCATTTTTAGATAAAGTTCCCATTATGTTATGTCTTTATAACAAAAATTTTTTTTAAATGTAAGTATATATACATATCATGACTGTGTTTTTTACTTTTGTCACAGTAGTCTCATGAATATTCTGTGGTACTGTTCTTGTCTCTCTCAGACACTTATGTTGAGGGGGCATTGATCTCTTGCACCTCTGAAACTGTATGTTGACTTTCTAGAGTCACCTTATTACTCTAAGCCGAGAAAAGTGGCGTCCTGGAGATCTTTGAGGACAGCAGCAAGCATGCCTCTTGGTAACAGAATGTCCTTAACCCCACAGAAGCTGTGGCTGGGAAGCTCAAAGCAAGGTATGTGGTCGCTCTGACAGAGACCTTCCCTGCTCCACAGGAGAGTTTTAGGAATTGCAGGTGGTGATTTAAGATAGAGTTTGTGATATGACTTATTTGAATAACATTGTTTTTAATCTTCTCAAAGATGTTGACCAAGCCTCGTAACCTTTCCGTGATGTGCAGTGTAGTTCCTGACGGTTTGCGTCTGTGACGCTGTGTCCCTTTGAGTCTTAGGATGTCTCAGCACGGCTGGCCTGGCCTGTTGGAGACAGCTCCTACCGGCTTGCACGAGCCAATGGTTCCATTTTTAGGAATTTTGTGAGCTGGTCGATGGCACACTGACAGCTTGAAATTAGACGTGGTGGGAATATTTGTACCAGGGAAATAGGCAGATGCTACCAATCTGGGCTTCCTTTGTCTCTTGAGAGCTGCTTATTGAACATTTATCAGCGAAGCACTGATTGCCACTATCTGCTGGTTGACTTAAGCTTTCTTCCGCCCAGGAAGATTGATTATTAGAGGCAAAACCTCCCGTTGTGTTTGTGTGTACCTGTCGTGTTAAATCCATGCACGTTCAAACCAGGAAGTCTGACCCAAGCCCTGAAGTCAGACCTGACCTTGGAGCATGCACGGACCAACCCCCCCAGCAGCACGCCCGACTATCTGACAGAAGCTTTAAGAATGAAGAGGTCAAATCTCAGGCGTTCTGCCAGCAATGGTGAGCATGGTGATGGTGACAAGGCCACACGTAAGGAAAAGCAGGAGGGAGAGCGCAGGGTCTGCTCTGACTCAGTGAGACTGGAGCTTCCTGTGCTGGCTCCGTCCCTACGAGGTCATGGAGAGAGGACAGGGGTCCTGCAGGTCCACTCTGCCCTTCTAGAAAGTAGCTTTCCTAATGTGGACGGTGGCATCTTCCCAGGCTCCCATGGGGCCCGCCTCCCTAAACGTGGAGTCGTACTGAAATCTGTCGGATACACAGTCTTAGAAATAACAATTGCAAATAAGGAAAAGCCCACATCTCACCAGAAAAGCTGGCTCTGTTGTCCTGTCTCTGTCTTCCTGCCTGGTCTTCATTCACGTTTCCTGCCTGGCTCTTCCTGCTGTCCTTGTGGACCTCCACCGGGAGCACGGCGGGCCCTTGTCGCTGTGACCCTGAGCTGACCCCCTTCCTGTGTCGGCTGGCTCCGAGTTCTACTTCAGGCTTGAATGTTTTAGAGTCTCAGTATATTGGGTATCACGCTGAAACCAGAGTATGCTTCACTGTTTCAACATGGGAAGGGGGATTGTTTATTTGTCTTTTTGTTTTGTTTGTTATTTAAAACCTGAACGTACCACTTCTCCTTTTGACCCCTTCTTTCCTTTTCCTGCAAGTAAGCCCTGTGTTCACACCTTTCCGTTTCCTCCTGCTTTATATTTCTGTATTGCCATCAGTTTTGGTCTCCTTAATTTGGGTGAAGTATTGTGGTCAGGCTAAAAATGTTGAAGTATTTTTGCTCCTTTTTTTTTAATCCTCCTTTTTTAAAAAGGGTAATTGTATCAACTTCCAGGTTTTCCTTAAGGTACAGCCAAGAATTCTTTCTGCTGTTGCGATGATCTTTTCAGACGTTGGTGTGTCGTCCTCTAGGTCATGTTCCCGGGACCCTGGTCTACAGAGAGAAGGAAGACATGTATGACGAGATCATTGAGCTGAAGAAGGTAATGTTACTGTCTGTCCCTTGCTGGTTTGGGATAACGAGAGCCTTCTGCAAGGACAGGTAGGACGGTCAGGGTTGGTGCTGACGTGTCTGCACGGAAAGAACATGAGCTTTGGCGGGACGCCAGAGTTCGAAGCCCAGCCCGGTGCCTTGGAAGCTGGGTGGCCCACCTCGTACCAGCTGCGGGGGAAGCCTCCCCCTGTGTCAGCACCATCTCTGCTCTGCTCCCGCAGCATGGCAGGGCGTCAGGGGAAACACGGGCTTGACCTCACAGTCCCTCCGCACAGAGATTTGGCATCGGGTGAGGTCACTGGTGTCGTTGTTACCAGTAGCCTCCCGTGTGTGTGTCTCTTCTGTGTGGCCCGGACGTTCCACGTGCCCTCGCGCGATGGATCTCTACAGGAGTCTGTGAGGGAGCACACGCTGTTAGCCGGTGATGACCTTGAGACTCAGACAAGGTAGTGGTCTGTCCTAGGTCAACCAGTAGCAGAATGAAGACTTCCACCAAGGCCATCTGCCTCCCAAGGCCAAGGCTGCTTTTACTGCCCTGTGCTATCCTCCAGTCCCTGAAGTGTGAATTGCACTGAGATAAATCACTGTCATCCTCGTCACCTTCACCATAACCACTACGGCCACGCTGCTCTTTCATGCCCTTACACATTCTCGTGCCCCTAGAGAACAGGCCAGAGTTCACTCCCTTCCATGACGTTAGTCTCTTTCTAGCCCTACTGTCCCCTCCAACTGAGCCGTATCTGGGGGACCACGGCCCATCTGGGCACCAGAGTTTAAACAGGGTGTGGGTAGCCAGTACCCCCAGGGCACGGCCATAGTGAGGAGCCTGCGAGGAGCAGGCTGGTCTAGGCCGCTGTGTGCAAGACACAGTCCTTCTGTGTCAGTCCAGACCAGATGCTTAGATTTCAGGTAGAACCAAGAGACTGCACTGCCGTGGGAGCAGCCCAGTAGTGAAGGTACCTCCCGAGCACCCATACTCCCTTGTCCTCAGAAATCGTGAGCAAATGTTGGACAGCTGCTTATCAGCGGTATGGTGGGGAGAACCCTTATTTTGAACTCTGAATCATCACTGCAATAGCACTCTTGGATCTTCCTGAGGCTAGAAGTGGGTCCCTGGGTAAAATTATACTGACTTTATTCAAACTTACCATCACAGGCATCTGGAAAAAGTCAGCCTAGGCTTCTAAATGCAGAGAGAAGAGAATTTCACTTCCATGACTCTGTGGCTCTGGGATCTTGAGCATCGGAGTCGTTTTTCTATGGCAAGTGATGCCTCAGTTTCCTGTTGAAAAATGGGGACCATAAAGGTGCAGTTTAACAGGGTAGCTATGAAGGTTCAGCAAAGTACCCATGCGAGGATTCCACACCACGCCCAGCACTCAGCCAAGGTCCCGGGGTGTAGACCGTCCCAGAGAGCTCGGCCCTCAGCCAGGGGCCGGGGGTGTAGACCGTCCCAGGGAGCCCAGCACTCAGCGAGGGTCCCGGGGTGTAGACCGTCCCAAGGAGCCCGGCCCTCAGCGAGGGTCCTGGGGTGTAGACTCCCAGGGAGCCCGGCCCTCAGCGAGGTTCCCGGGGTGTAGACCGTCCCAGGGAGCCC